AATCTCAGATGCTACTTGGGAGGCTGAGGCAAGTTGATCACAAGTTCACATTCAGCCTGGACAATCCTGCAAGAGCCTATCTTTTAAATTTTTTTAAAATTCGACACAAGGTCATACGATGCAGGTCAGACTCGTAGTGATCTTCCTGTCTCAGTCTCCCCAGTGCAGGGAATACAGGCATGTGCCACCACGCCTGCTTCTGGGGTGGCATGGCACATATTGGCCTTGGGACCTTGTGCTTGCCAAACAGGCACTTAAGACTGCTGAACTATCTCCCCAGCAAGAGCCCATCCTGAAAATGTTTAAAGGAGGTTGGAAGTGTGCAGTTCAGTGGTAGAGCAGTTGCTTAGCAGGCACAGGGCCCTAGATTCCACACCTGGCCCCAGCCAGACCACAAAAAAAAGCAACTTTTTCTTGGCTTAGGTAATGAGTAGTTGAGGTGTCTACGTTGTTGTTGTTTTTAAATTTAAACAGTATATCTGTGTTCCCAGGCACCTTTATGTATTTCCTATTTCACTATTTAAAACAGTGCCTTTCCTTCTGGAATGCTGGAGTAACAAGCATCTTTCATGGGACTTGGGGTGGCCAAAGCTTTCATTGCCTTTCTAGTTTCCACAGCAAGCAGGCAGGAGACCAGCACATCATGTGATCAGGAGAACCAGTTGCTGGAACCCAAAGAGGGCTTGAGTTAGAAGCACACAGAACTATGGCAGCAATGGAATTTAGAGTTTCTCTTTCTTCTTCAGGGAAAGTTAGGAATATGCCTCCAAAATTCTGGATTATTCCTGAGGATTGTCAGGGGAAAGTCTCAGGAAAAGGCCCCTGGCCAGCACCCTCAGACCCTCCCTTCCAGGAAAGGCTCAGTTCCTGTGGCTACACAATGGCTGAGGTGCTCGATTTCCAGTTCTGCAGTGTGTTGGGACAGAACCAGCATATGCTTCTGTTCAGTCATGGACCCCAAGATGTAGAAAGCTTTACCAATATACTGTTTTACTTATAGCACTGGGGGTGGAACCCAGAAGCTCAAACATTCTACGTAAGTGCTCTATTGCTGAGCTATACTCCTAGCCTTATATCTTATCTTAACATTTTTGTTTTTGATTCAGTGTCGCTCCATGTAGTCTAAGCTGCCCTCAAACTCATGATCTTTCTGCCTCAGCTTGTTTAGTGCTGGGATCATATAGCTAAGCACCACCATGCCTGGCAAACCCTATTTAAATTTTATTTTGAGAAAAGGTCATCCTAAATTGGCCAGATCAGTCTCTGATTTGTGATCATCCTGCCTCAGCCTCAGGAGTAGCTGGGATTACAGACCTACACCACCACACCCTGCAGACCTCGGATTTTCTTTTTTTTTTTTTTTTAAATTAATTTATTTAGTGTGTGTGTGTGTGTGTGTGTGTGTGTGTGGCCAGCTCAGCCCACCAGGGGACAGGGCTGGCTGGCATGTGGTGCTGGGGGATTGAACCGCAGTCCCTGTGCTTTGCCAAGCTTGTTCTAAGTACGTGCTTTAGACCACTGAGCCATCTCACCAGTCCCAGACCTCGGATTTTCAACAGGATCTCTTTCTGCCCAGCTCCCTTCCTCCCTACTCCCACCCTCACTGAAGCTGGAGAACGGAGAATGCTGGTGTTTTTTGGTTGGTCAGCAAGCTCTGTGGCTGGCTACCCCATCATCTCCTCCAGGAAGTAGAGAACCTATAGCAAAGAACTACGTATCAAGAACAAATGAATTAAGATAAATTCCTGTGATTAAACATGACTCTGAGCCTCAACTGGCAGGAGAATGTGGCTGAAATGTTGGGTTCCTGTGCAGGACTTTTGGCTGAAATGTTCTATAAGAACACATAAATGTTCTGAGTTGTAGAAAAGGCCCCCCGAATATATGCACATGTCTCTCCCTTGTGTCAGTGCTCATTCTCACGTTATTTTTCTATCACAGATAAGCTTGAAGATTGCTACTTAACTATATCTTTTTCTTTCACTGGTCTTCCCCACCCCATAATCACAGATCCCAGGCTACCACAGAAGAAATTTATAGTGATAGAGGTGTAGCACAGTGGGAGTGCAGTTTTACCTAGCGACCACAAGACCCCAGTTCCATCCAAAACTCTGAAAAAGAAATTTACAAGGACAGTATGATCCTCCACAGTGCTGAAAGACTAGAAGCCCATAGGAGCCCCCAAAACTGCTACTTGTCACTAGGAAAGCATCACTCAGATCTCTTCGGTAGAAACTAAAATTTGATCCCCTTTCCCTTGGAAGCACTTTAGGCAGACTTATGTTTCTACCCCTTTCTCAAGATGATTTTGTTTATTTTTTATTTTTTATTTATTTATTTATTTTGTGGGCCCAGGGATTGAACGTAGGATCTTGTGCTTGCCCGGCAAGTGCTTAGTCTACTGAGCTATCTCCCTGGCCAAGATGATTTCCTTTAATGTACTTAATCCATCATAACACCTTGTACTAGCACAAGAAAGCAGACATGGTTCTAGTCTTAAAAGTTCAAAATGAAGAAGAAGAAAAAAAAAAAAAGAAGCCAGAACTCAGAACTGCTGATCTGCCTCGGCCAAATACAGGTGTGGGGCAGGAAGTATTCATAACTAAGCCATCTCCCTTTATTTGGTGCCACCATCAAACCCAGGGCCAGTCAGCTTCTACCTGGTTCCAGAGCTATTCCCAGGTTCAGAGCCAATGACTGAATTTTTCCATCCCTGGAAAACTGTGTCAGTCTTGGAAAACAACTTTTCCAGCACTGGAAAACAAGTTTGGACACACTCCAATATTCCTAGTTCCATTATTCAGAAAAGGGCTCGGGCTGGGGAGATGGCTCAGTAGAATAAGCCCTTCCCTGGCAGGCACAAGAGTCTGAGTTCAATACCCAGTTCCACCAAAAAAAAAAAAAAAACCAAAACAGAAAAGGGCTCACCAGAGTTGGTGATTTGCCTGGGATCACATAGTAAATAAAACTGCTGTGGCCCCCAAATTCACATCTGGCTGGGAAGCCTCCACCCCATAGTAAACATGTTGTGATCATGCAGAGGTAAACAGGAAAAGGCTCAGGTCTCCTCTCCCTCCCCCATCAGCTATGTTTTCTCCTCCTTGCAGCCAGCCTGGGTCCACAATTCTGAGCTTGACTTCCTGGGTTGTTTTTTGTTTTTGTTTTGAGATGCAAGGTATCTTTTTCTCATACTGCTCTCAATTCTGGTTCAGGGCAGTTCAGCACCAAATGTCAAGTACAGAGTTGTTGCTGTATCTGCCCCTGACTAGAATGAGGGTGTCACCAAAAAGAAGAAAAAGATATAGAAGGGTAGGAACAATGAGCTGAAGACAGCCTTAACTGAAGAGACAAAGAGACAATGCAGCCCCCACACCTCGGCCAGCCCAACTTCACTGGGGAAAGCATCTGGGGAAAAGAACATAGCTAGCATATGCACTGCAGGCAGAAGCTGAGCTGCAGAGAGGAAATTTCCAAAGTTGCCTCTGCTGGACTACGGGTGAGGGTCTCATCTGTCCAAGAATCAGGGTTTGCTGGCCAGATTCCTCTGGGCCAGTCCAAGATGAGGCAAAAGTCTGCCGCAGAAGGCTTGCCTCCCCCAAACAGCATTAGGAAAACCCTTTCCCTTACCATCTCCCTTAAATTAGAAAACACACCTCCTGACCAACAGGGTAGCCTGAGAGGTGACACTGGGATGGGTACCTAGGAGTTCTTGGGCCTAATGGAATGGAAAGCTTCATGCACAGCCTATTAACAGAGCTTGCCTTAGACACAGGGCCAGCCCATACCTCTGAAAAGGGTAGCAACAGAACCAGAGCTCAGATCTGAATATCTACCACTCATTTTAAAAGTACATGCAACAAAGAGTTAGATGTCTCCCTTCCCAAGAAATACAGGGGCACAAACAGTGAACACAGGTAAAAGCACACACTCACCTGTGTTCTGACTTTCTGACTCCCAGCTGCTCAGGCCAAATGAGGAATGTCATTGGCTTATTCTGGTGAGCTCCTTAGTGCCTGCTGCCATAGGATACAGGCTTCATTTAACCTAATGGGAGTCCTTTCTGAACTGCTAGCCCAGACCCTGCACCCTCTCCACAGAAAATCCCCGAGGGGTCAATCTCCAAGACACCTAAATTCCTTCCTTGGGCTGACATCCCGATCAGCCCTATTATGAGCTGGCTTGAGAAGCAGGAGCCTGCAGTCCTGGTGGTGGCTCCAGTGAAGGTGCATTATTTATCAAGGCTGCTGTTTTAATTGATACCAAGATACATTCAATACAGCTCACCAATCGTCTGGACAATCTCAGGCTGGAAAATAAACAGCTCCATGTGAATGGCTCTTTGAGATTCTGGTTTTAGCTGCCGGCTCAGCATGAGTGCAACTTGAACTGAGGCCCCAACAAGCCCAAGCACAGCTCGGCCACCTGTCAGTTCTCCACCCTGGGGGTTGGTTCAGAAGGCAGGGAGGGATCTCCAAGCACTAGCTTAAACTCGGGCTCCACCTAATGGCAAGAACCCCCCTCCCCCGCCCTTTCATAGATGAACAAACTGAGCTTCATCCAAGAAGGTGAACAAAAATCCAATGGGAGGACTCACTGGCAAAAGAAACTAATGGTCACCTACTTGTTCTCCTACGCTGCAATTTTGTCCCCTGCCATCCTACAGGAGGGAGGGTGATGTCAACTTTTTAGTTAACATCTTGCATTTCTCCAGCCCTTTGTCTGAGAATAGCACTTCACACACGTTATTTCCAACAATCTCAGATGGGTGAGTCACTAGAACGTCTGGGAATAGTGGGAAACAAACAGGCCTGAAATGAAGCTGACAGACAGAGGCACAAATGGTACCTGACGTCGCCCCTAGGATTCTAGCACAACATCCGCTCATCCTCGCTGACCTTAGGCTGGCTTCCCCATCACTTGGGTCCAATTAAAGCACTTCTGCGTGGGGTGGGGAAGGCTACGTGGCGGGCTGGACTTGCCAAGGGACGGTCTGTGCTCACCTTTAAATCAGGAGGCTTGCTTCGGGAACCCGGGTTGGGTGCCGCCCCAGCACTCGCATCTGAAGTTGGCCCGCTTGCGGAGTTAGCACCCGCGGCCTCCCCGGGCCGGAGGTCCGTGCCCGGCAGGTGGCAAGCTGCATCCTCCAGCCCAGCTCCATCCTCCTCGCCCGGCTGCTGCTGCAGCTCGTCCGATTTGCACCTCTTCATGGTTTGTGCGGGTCTGCAAGGGGAATCTGTCCTTCCTGGACGCCGTCTTGGGGGAGACCGCACCCCCTCGTACGCTCAGAAATGAGGCCTGGGGCTAAATTATTAAGGAAAGGAGTCGGCTGATCACAATTTCTTACATTTAAAAAACATTTTTTAAAGGAGGCTCAGGGAGAGCCTTGGAATAGCTGATTCCGACCTGGGGAGCGAAGGCAGGTCACAGTCGAGGCTGTGCAGCAGGAGTCCCTGGGCTGTCATTGTGCGGAAGCGGGAAGGTACCCCCCACACCCCAAACTTTGTGCTTCAGGGCATGGGCTGGGCGGTGGGGGGGAGCTAGGCGCACAGCGCATCCCTCCCTGCCGGCGGGATGCAGGGCGAGGCAGGGCGCGGGGCGGCCGGCCGGGCAGGACCTCGCAGGCTGCCCTCTCCGCCGGCTGCGGCCCCCGGCCCTGCCCCCAGCCCCTTCCCCGCATGGGCCGGCCGCGGAGCAAGCAGCGCGCCCGGCCTCCTTTTCACTCGCGCCCTGCTCCCCTCCCGCCCGCGGTGCTTCCTGCTGCAAAGCCGCGACCGCGGCCGAAGCCCGCCGCGAACGCGCAACCTACCCCGCCCGAGAGCGGGAAGGAGGAACCAGGAGGGAGTGACGGGGCAACTCGCCAATGGAAAGGCCTGGAGCTGAGGGGGCGTTGGCCGCCGCGCTTTTTGGGGGTTGGTTGCACCGTGCAATCCCTAGTCCTCTTCTCTCCTGGAGTGGTCTGGAAGGCCAGGTGTCGCTGCGTTGTGGCATTGCGGAGGGCGGGCTGCGGAGTAAAGGCGGGGGCTGAGGGTTGAGGCGGACGGACCAGGTCTGGCCGGTTGCTTCCCTCCCAGGAAAGCGTGTCCCAGGAACCCCTCCCTTCCTGTAGTTGACAGGGAGGTGGCACAATTGGGATGTTTATGATCACTGTCTCTTTTCTGGTCCTAACTTTGCAAGTTATATTACATTCATCCCACCTAAGAGGAAGAAATCATTTCCTTTAGGATGGTTGGTCTGAGTCACAAGCCCCCTATTGATAATGGAAATCGTTCCCTACCCCCATCTTGAGTCTTAGCTTTATGCTTTTATTAGGCAGTACTTCATATTACAGCACAACAACATATGTGAAAGTCCTTTGCTCACTGTGAAGCTGCTTTTAAATAAGAATGGTTATTGATAGCAAGAGGTTGGTATACTCAGAAGAGTACAAAAGGAGTGCTACCTATTCTTCCATAAACATCAACCAACTTATGCTAAGTGCCCTGATTCAGAAAGGAGCAATGTTGGAAGTTAATAACTCTATCTGCAAATTGCATGCCTCCTGTGATTACAATGATCTGTGCTTATCCAGCAACCAGTGGTTCTCAAGGTGTGGCCCTTGGACCAGGGGCAACAGCATCACTTAGATGCTTGCTAGAAGCGCAGATTATCAGCTGGGGCATAGGGACTGCAAATTTGTAATTCTAGCACTCAGATGGATAAAGCTGGAGGACCACTAAGAGTTGTAGCCCAGTTTGGGCTGCGTAAATAGTAAAAACTTGTCAGAGAGAGAGAGAGAGAGAGAGAGAGAGAGAGAGAGAGAGAGAGAGAGCAAATTTTTGCAAATCTACTTGAATCAGAAGTAGTGGGCTCACAAATCTATTTTGAGGAGTACTCTGGGTACTCCTGATACATGCTAGCATCTGAGGAACATTGGCCTAGCCACTCTCAGTCTGTGAGTCACCATGATGATCCCTGAAGGACTTTGCAGCTTATGAAGCTCCTTCACGCCATTTGGTCCATTTGATCCTCACTTCAGTGCTACTAGTCTGAGTTCCCTGACTGTCTGTCTTCTCATCCCAACCACGCATTTGGATGTGCATCCTAGAAGAGAGCAAGTTGTTCAGAATTTACACCAGCCCAGCAGCCGCTTTCTAAATTTCTAAATTGAAATTCTAAACTAAGCAGTTTTATTTTTGGCAGCCAAGAATTTCGGATGGGCTGGGAATGTAGAGCCACTCCTCACTTCACTACAGCGTAGGGTATCAAGTGCAAGTGTAAAGCATAAGCCCTTAGCATTCTCAATGATGAGGAATGGCAGAGCTGCCAATGTGAATGGTGGCTAGGACTAGACAGAACTTGTCGGGGCAGGTGTGCCTGCTCTGCAAGGTGGAAGGTGAAAATACCCCGCTCTCAACCCCTGTGGCCCAGGGCAGTGGCCCCAGAGATCCTGGGGAAGTCTTGGGTGGCAAGTGGTAGTGAGCAAATAGTAGACAGTAATGACACATGTTTGTGACCTGACTTTAAACTGAAGGAAAGTGGAGGGATTCTACACGAACCTCCAAGAAAAGAGAGCATTAACTTTAGATTTTTGCAAAATCAGATCTTCTTCTTCTTCTTCTTCTTCTTCTTCTTCTTCTTCTTCTTCTTCTTCTTCTTCTCCTTCTCCTTCTCCTTCTCCTTCTCCTTCTCCTCCTTCTCCTTCTCCTTCTCCTTCTCCTCCTCCTCCTCCTCCTCCTCTTC